AGGCTGGTGGGAACCGAGCGGGGCGGGGGGAGGTTAGGCGACTGACCCAGGGTCACACAGCCATCTGCCTGACTTAAGACACCCCGGGTCATGAGCTTTGTCCCCGGAAGGATGCAGAATTGAACGTGACATGCCTGATCATAAGGGGAAGGTGCGTCCGGTTGGGAATTAGGAGGAAATACAAGTTTCAAGGAGGTGGTGGGTGGGAAAGCCCTCCATGGATGGAGCTGCGTAATATCTCATCGTCCATTCCAGGTTGACAAGAAAATCGGGACCCCAGGATTGTAAGCCCGTGGCATGGAGTCTGGTCCTAGTTCAACTGTGAACTTGACCGAGGCATTTCACCTCCCTGCAGCCTCCAAAGTGCATGCCTATGGAAAGGGATTGTATTGGTTCCTTTCAGCTTTACTGTCTCCGGGAGGGGGAGGGAGGGGCGTTCTGGTGTGCACTGTGTCTGGGCAACAGTACAGATTCTCATTCATCTGCTCTCAGTGCTTTGCACATTCAAGTGCTCAAGAAGCGCGTGCATTGTCGTGAGAGCTGTTGGAGCTTGCGTGTGGATGGTGGGGAGAACCGAAAGTGTAGCGTGCTGGGATGGGGAAGAGAGAGGCAAGGACTACGGGTGCTGTGGAAGGCCGGGCCCAGTCCTGAAGCAGTAGTCCTCCAGGGCAGTACCTGGCCAGGTGTCCAGTCAGGGAGTGGTCACCCTCAGGATTAGTAGGGTAGTGACTGCTGGGAGTGACGGCGGTTGGAGGAAACTCAGAATGGAGACAGGGCAGTTTCCTGGCTCCTGGCTTAGAGCAGTCCTCGACCATTGTCTCTTCAGTCATCTTCCAGGTTTTAGTTCCTCTGAGACTTTAAGATCCCTTGTCCTGCCCTGGCCGGGTGGCTCATTTGATAAGAGTGTCGTCTTGGCATGCCAAGGTGGGGGGTTGGATTCCCCATCAGGGCACATTCCAGAACCAACCAATGAATGCATGAATGGGTGGAACAACAAATCCATGTTTCTCTCTCTCTTTCAAATCAATAAAAAAACAGTACCTTATACTAATAAATTACAGCTGACGTTTAGTGTTTGCCATTAAATGTGTGGGAATATAAGGCTGGAATAAACAGAGGAGGTGTTCTCTGTCTTCTAGGAGCCATAGAGATCCATAAGTTAAAAATGAAAAAAAATTTAAATCTGGGAAACATCCTTTGTCCAGACCCCGTATTTCATGGACGAGGTGACTAGCCCAGATAGAGGAAGGGAACTGATGTCCTAGACCAGTGGTCGGCAAACTCATTAGTCAACAGAGCCAAAAATCAACAGTACAACGATTGAAATTTCTTTTGAGAGCCAAATTTTTTAAACTTAAACTATGTAGGTAGGTACATTGTTATTAACTTAATTAGGGTACTCCTAAGGCTTAGGAAGAGCCACACTCAAGGGGCCAAAAAGCCGCATGTGGCTCGTGAGCCGCAGTTTGCCAACCACGGTCTAGACTCCAAATCTCACAACTCCAAGGTCTGCTTACCTTGGACAGAGGGATTGGTCCTCTGCCGGTTTTTGTAAGTACTATGAGATGAGAATGATTTTTACATTTTAAAAGAGTTATTGCCCTCCCAGCCTGAAATACTATCTGGCCCTTTAAATCTTGGAGCTCCCCACACCAGCCAGTGGTTAAATTATCTCGTTTTTTCCGCCATGAAAGCAAATGAAATGTTGAGTGGTTTGGTGGTTATTTCAACACTTGTCTTTTCTCCCCTGCTCTTTTGGACTTTTGTCACCTCCATAAATGAGAGGCAATTCATGTGGGCTTGGTAAAACAAATAGCTTGCTTTTCTGTCATCTGTTATTTCTAGTAGAGATTTCTTTCTTCTTTAGAGCAAAGGTTAAGAAAAGCTAATCATGACTTCTCCTAATGTCTTCAAAGCTGGTGTGATGCACCAAGCGGGAGGGAGTGCTGTCCGGTAGGGAGTGGACGCTGGGCAGGGCGGCCAGAGGAGGCCTGGGCCCCAGGGGTCATGGTGATTTGGCGGGGGGGGGCACAAAGTCTTCTTTGAAGAACTTTGTACAGTTACTGCAGGATGTCAGAAGAAGTGTTTATTGATCTATTTGGCTTGACATTGAACTCTCAGAAAAACTATCAGATGTTACTGAAGACATTGGACGCTGTTAGATCCCACCATGCTGCCAAGGCCAAATTCCTCTGCATAATGTGTTGCAGTAACATCAGCTGTGAAAGGAACGGTGACCTTGATACTTATGAATTAGAAACAACCAATGGAGTATCAGCTCTCTTGAGAGAATTTGAGATTGTTAGCAACCCCAGTATGGCTGCCTCTCTGTATACCGTTAAACAAAAAATTGAAAAAAAACCTGAGCCACATTAAGGTAATGGTACCCATCAACTGGAAGACATTAATGAAGGTTTTTATTGATCAACTCTTCACTGATGTTTACAATTTTGAATTTGAAGATTTACAGGTGACGTTGAAGGGAGGTCTTTTGAAACAGTCCACTGAGATAAGCATGATCACAACTCAAGAACTAGAAGCTGTACATAATGAAATAGAAACATATTTGAGAAGTCTGCCGGCACTGAAAGGAGAATTAACTATTCTCACATCTCCTTTGATCTCAGATATTTTCATACATGGATTTACTACAAGAACAGGTGGGATATCTTACATACCAACTCTCAGCTCATTCAATCTCTTCAGTAGCTCCAAACGAAGAGATCCCCAGGTAGTTGTTCAAGAAAATCTGCGTAGGTTGGGGAGTGCTGCAGGATTTAATGTGAAGAAATTTTACAGAATAAAGACAGATCATGCCAGTGACGCCTGGGTTATGGGAAGGAAGGAGCCAGAATCTTATGATGGAATCACCACAAATCAGAGAGGAGTCACCATAGCTGCTCTTGGTGCTGACTGTATACCAATAATTTTTGCAGATCCTGTCAAAAAAGCATGTGGGGTTGCTCACGCTGGTTGGAAAGGTATTTGCTAGGTGTTGCTATGGCTACTGTGAATGCTATGATAGCAGAATACAGTTGCAGTTCGGAAGATATAGTCATACTGGGGCCTTCAGTAGGACCTTGCTGTTTTACTCTTCCAAGGGAATCTGCAAATGCATTTCATAATATTGATCCTGAATGTGTGCGGCTATTTGACTCACGAAATCCCTATGTTGACATTCGTAAAGCCACCAGGATTCTTCTAGAACAAGGAGGAATTCTACCACAGAATATCCAGGACCAGATGCAAGATCTCAACCTCTGTACATCCTGCCATCCTGAGAAGTTCTTCTCCCATATCCATGATGGCCTTAATTTTGGTACACAGATTGGCTTCATATCAATTAGAGAATGAGATACTTGACTGGATTTTTAGATAACTATTTCCTGCCTCCTTCCAAACCAACTGCAAGAGAGAAATTTAGTTGTTTGATTTACTTAACACCAAAAGGATTACAATGGAAAATTCATGTTTAGGGTAAATGTTCACTATTATCCAAAGTCCAGTGATTTTCATTTGATTCTAACAATAACTGACAAAATAATCAGTGGGATGTGGTTTATACATTTTATATAGGTAAGGATTATTCTTAAAGTTTGTTTCTCTGTTTGTTACATAAATCAAGACTAGGTCTGTTCAGTTCAGTATTTATTGGGTACCCTCTATCAGTCATTGTGTGAAGCTTGGGTGAAATCAAAATAAGTAAGACTTTTTCCTTTTGAGTGTAATGCTGTGGAGGAGATAAAAAACTTCTAACACTTAAATTTAATTTTGATAGTAGTAAGAAAAGTACAAAAGAAGGAAGGATTAATACTACCTTGAAGTCAGGATAGAGAAGATATTACAGAAAAAATGGATTACATGGGCCTGAAAAATGTACAGGCTTTTGACAAATGAAAACAACCATAACAGATTCAGGGAACACCATGAGCTAGGACATGAAACTGAAAATTAACATGTTCTAGAAAGAGAAGGGTGTGGACAGAAATTACTGGCAAAACAGGTTAGAAAGATTATTTGGGATCTCAAATGCCATGTCAAAGAGTTTAGAGTTTATTTCCAGGCAAGGAATAGGTATAAAATGTAAGGGAGTGTTTTAAGGTCCTTAGCATTACATTGAGAAAGGTTGATAACTTTCTAATTTTTCACTGGGCATTATTTTGTTTAAAGTTTACAAATTTACAGAATATTTTACTTTATGTATGAAAATATTCAAAATCCAAATAAAAATTGTTTTGATTAAAAAAAAAAAAGAAAGAAAAGCTAATCATTAATTCCTAGAAGGGTTGAAGAATGAGAGCTAAGGTGCACATCTTTTCCCTCTGGGCCCCTGCTTGGCAGGAGACTAAGGACTGTGGTTTCCTCAAGTTTGCTTCCATTCCTGGAGCAATACCTCTGGGGAGCTGTGGCTGCAGCAACTCACAAGTATGTTTCCTGTAGGCACGTGGCTAATGATGTGAACAAACCGACTCCATCTTTGTAAGCCCTCCACTCTCCCTGTTCAAGCTTTAACTTTGACCAAGCTAACTGTTCCTGGCCAGCATTCTCTGTCTTATAGCTAACTAGAGGCCCGGTGCATGAGTTCGTGCATGGGTGGGGTCCCTCCCGGCCGATCAGGGCAGTCTTGCCCAGTCCTGATTAGGGCCGATCAGGGTGGTCTTGCTCAGTCCTGATTAGGGCCGATCAGGGCCGATCAGGCCAGCCGGCTGGGTGAGGGACCAAGGGGGGTTGGCTGTGGGAGGCAGCTCCTGTGTTGAGCGTCTGCCCCCTGGTGGTCAGTGTGCATCATAGCTACCTGTCAGTTGTCCGGTTATCACTTAGGCTCTTATATATATATAGACTAGGGGCCCGGTGCACGAAATTCGTGCACTGGGTGGGGGGTGGGAGTGTCCCTCAGCCCAGTCTGCCCCCTCTCACATACTGGGAGCCCTCAGGCGTTGACCCCCATCACCCTCCAATCGCAGGATCGGCCCCTTGCCCAGGCCTGACGCCTCCGCCAGAGGTGTCAGGCTTGGACAGGGGACTCCCATCTCCCCCCGATCACTGGCTCTGGCCCCTGCCCAGGCCTGAGGCCTCTGGCCCAGGAATCATGCCTGAGCAGGGGACTCCCATCTCCCTCTGATCGCTTGCTCCCCCCCCTGCCCAAGCCTGACGCCTCTGACCCAGGCTTCAGGCCGGGGCAAGTGGACCATCATATCCCCCCAATCCCCGGCTCCGCCCCCCACCCAGGCCTGATGCCTCGGCCAGAGGAGTTGACCCTCATTACCCTCCAATCACCAATCACCGGATCGGCCCCTTGACCAGGCCTGAGGCCTCCAGCAGAGGTGTCAGGCCTGGGCAGGGGACCCCCAGCTCCCCACGGTTGCAGGCTCCGCCCCTGCCCAGGCCTAATGCCTCTGGCCTAGGCATCCGGCCAGGGCAGTGGGGACCTGCAGTGGCAGCGGGGGGCGCTGCGATCGCACGGGCTCCGCCCCTGCCCCTGCAGGACGCCTCAATCTTAATTGGCAGTTAATTTGCATATAGCCCTGATTAGCCAATGAAAAGGGTAGCGTCGTATGCCAATTACCATTTTTCTCTTTTATTAGTGTAGATGACTACTGTTCTGTAAGCCTATACAATGTAATCATAAAGATTCTTGTCAGTAAGTGGCCAGAATGGTACAGCAGTAGAGACCTATGTCAAACTAGGTCTTGGTGGCAATTCTAAGCAATTTTCCATCATAAGACCCCTAGGAGGGAGGGTTCCTGGTTCATACAGCATTCTTAGGCCCTGTGCCTTGTCAGTCATTAGTAGATCAGCTGTACTAAAAACATTCACTGTAATGACTGTAAAGCAGTGGAGAATGAGCTGCACAGAACTACCAGGGTTGTCTGTCCACTCCGATCCTCCATCCCTGTAACTAACTTACCCTGTCATAATAATCTGTTCTATTCTGTGGAGTTGCCCTCTTTGGTTTTTGGTCTTGGGACACATTTACAGTTGGTGGTTGCTGTATCTCCGCTCCACATTCAAACAGCCAGTTCTCCCTACCATTCCCTAAGCCGCAGTCCTGCTGGGTCAGTTCGTGCTCGTGGCCCACTGCCCACTTTCTTTGCTCATGTGGTTTTGATGTCCACAGGTATGTAGTCCTGACGACAAAGCATCATGAAGGCTTCACAAACTGGCCGAGTTCGGTGTCTTGGAACTGGAATGCTAAGGATGTGGGGCCGCATCGTGATTTGGTTGGTGAGTTGGGAACCGCCATCCGGAAGAGGTGTGTGTGCACTGCAGTTAGTCCATCATTGCTTCTGACCTAACAGCCGTCCAGTGTGCCAGACCTTCTGTACTCGCGTGTTTTCTAAGTTTGCATTCAGCGAGTACCTGAATTGGCAGTGTTTGATGCTTGTCTGTTTCTATGTGACCAAAGGTGACGCCATCAGAGACATTCATGGCTCTGTCTGGTTGGGTGAAGGATACCTAGCAAAAACCACAGTGGCCCATTTGTCCTCTGAGAAGGATTCTTTCTGGAAAGCCTTCCAACCCAGGCCCTTTTCCAGGGTCTGATGGACGGCAGGGACCAGGTCTCGCATCTTTGTGTCCCCCTTCGCTGTCAACACAGACCTTTGCCGGCATTCAGGGAAGGTTTGGGTAAATGACAGATCAAGAGGGAACTGAAAAGGGCAGTTAAAGCAGCAAAAAGTGAAGGAGCCACTGGGTTGATTCTAACTAATGGGGGTTTGGGGGTGGGGAGAGACTGACCAAAAAACGTACATGCATATATGCATAATCCATGGACCCAGACAATAGTGTGGTGAAGGCCTGGTGGGGTGGAGGTGTAATGCTTTGCACAATAAAGATATATTAAAACAAAAAGTAGCTTCCCAAGATCAATGAGCTAGGAACTGGCAGAGGTGGGATTTGAACTCAGACAGTTCTGGGTATATTTGCCTGTAGGGAGGAAAGTGGTATTTGTGCCATGCCCACTCTCACCTCTGTTGTGATTTGGCAAACTTGTTACGCTATTTAAGGGGTGGGCCAGCTGCCTGTTTGTGTCAATGAAGTTTGATTGGAGCATAGCTATGCCCATTCATTTACGTGTTGTGAGTTAGGAAAGAGACCCCAAGGCCTGCACAGCCTAAAGTACTACCGGCCCCTTAAGAA